TGATCAAGGACCGCAACGCGGAGGACGAGGCGGTCGACTACTCCAAGCTCGGAGCCCACGAGTTCAAGGTCCGGGAGATGGAGCAACAGGTACGTTTAATCGATTCGCGCATCGTGAACTATGCCAACTGCCGTATAATGGCGGTGGCCGGAGACAACTCCGTCGCAGCCATCCTCGTCATTTGCGGCTAGTGCCTTGCTTGGCGACCGAAAGAGAAAAGGGAAATGCTGACGCGTGCGGCGCTACCACTTCTAGGTCGAGATTCTGCAGTTGGAGAACTCCCTCTCGGCCGCAAGACACAGGCTAGGAGAGATGCGCAAGATCTCTTACCAGGAGGACTAGGGGGTTTGCCATGTCGACAACGTGAGCCACAGTATCCGTAGCGGCAGTCGTTTTTTACGTTCCACGGCCCGGAGTTGGACTCCGACGGGAGGGAGAAGGAGCGCGAATCTTTTGTGGATTGCAGGGTCGCCTTCTTCTCGCAGTTCTATCTGGAATCATCATACCTCGGTGTACTTCGGTCGTTTCTTCTTCGCAAAAGGACGGGAGGGGAGGTGTTTGTTTATCATTTGAACATGCTTCTTCATTGAAGATCTATTTCTCCTCCATTCCCGGTAGATAAATCCGGAGTGGGGCGAAGATCTCTTCTCGTGTGAGGTGATGGAAGCATAGGTCATCTATTTGATACAAGTTTTTTGTTGAACCTCCCTTTCTTGTGCCGGCTGTGTTGAATCTGCTTGAGCGTTTACCCAGGGCAGGGCGACTAGCAGATGTGACGATGTTCTGAGGGAAACTCTACGGTACATTCAAGCCTCGTTACCTCAACCCTTAACCCTTAACCCGGTCTTCGGGTCTCCGGATCTATCTCCGGATCTATTCCCAGATCTCGTCTCCCGTTCAAAAGGTGCGTGGTAAGTCAAGCGTGGCTTTTTTCTCGGCTTTCCTCAGATAGCTATGCGAGGCTTGCACCCAAATTTCCTACCCCGTGATGGCGTACCCGGAACCACGACGGATTCAGGGTTCATGCTCCGGACCATCTATCCTGCACTGGTTCATGCGAATCGGCGGTGCGCGGGTTCGGTTGTCGCTAGTAGCGGACCACGCATGGCAAGGCAAGGCTGAAAACGGACGAAGGAGGGTTGAGGGGTGGAAAAGGGGACAACAAAACTCCTCCAGCCTTTTTTATGTTCCCTTGTCAAGCCCCTCCGTTGGAAGTTGACCCAGGCTAAGAAGAAGCCTAAATGTGTAATCTTTGGACGCCTCTTTTCTCGCGCACCCTAAGCTTTCACCCCCTCCCCTTTTGATACTCCGGTAGAGGGAACACGTCCGATTAAGTGGCATTTTACATCCTCCCACCCTGCCTTGCCTTACAGACCTAGTGCCTTGGGATTTTGCAGCGGGTTTATCCCGGAGGGGTTGTGCATGGCTTGAAGCCATTCCCTCCATCCTCCACCTACTCAGCACCTACCATAGGAACACCATCAGAACCCGTGGGAAGATGGTTTGCCCTGTCAACCCGGTTCTCGGAGACGTGAGGAGAAAAACGAAAAGCCAAAGCTAGGCTGTGGATGGCGTCGTGTATCATCGTCACACCTGTGGCGTTTGCAAAGTCCACCCCTCCCTTTTGAAGCCTAACCGGGAAAAGCCTCTAGAGAGAATGAGAGGAGAGCGAAGAGTGAAATGCGAACAAGTATCTCGAGACGACGGTTGAGGTACCCTCCCCTCTCATGAAGATCTCAAGCTTCCCTAGCACGCCCAGCGAGACTCTTGAATCGGTCCCTGGAATTCGGTTAGCACTGTGGCATTTTTGGAATCATTTTCTCTGCGTCTTGCGGGATTATCGGGAAGATGGTCCGGTTAGAATTTTGGAGAGAATGAAATATGACGATGTCATGTTGTCTCCTTCTCATATCATCATCATATGAAATGTAAAGTTGTGTTTCACTAGTTGTCTTGGAGGTGTTGGAGAAGCTACCCCACGATGAGGAACATAGATATTTCTCTCCATGTTTCTCTCAACCTGTGTTGGATATGGTTCACTGAGGCCCAATCTACCTAGGAGAATCTCATGGTTTCCTTGAAATTCGCTACAGTTTCTCATTTCCTTGGGTCTTCAGAAGTAATCATGTTAAACAGCAGCAAACATCTCACGCTCTTCGAAACATTGACATCCAAGCGACCGTATCAAAAAGATAGACTCTCATCGGCGTCACCGTAAATCATTCACAACAGTCGGATACGCGCGTTACCCCTTCGTTCTATGTTTTACGCAAGAAAGGGCGTATATCCAACATGCCCTGTCCAACAGTCCCGTGAAAGCCGTCCGACCCGCCTGGGCAGCTCTAGCACCCTCCCTAGATCATTCCTCCCCGACCCAATCGCCATCGTTCCAGCTGTCACTGTCGAAAAAGAATTCATTGGCGAAGAAGGAAAATACCACGGCACGCAATGAAACAAGTTGGTCTCCTGCGGTCGAGCCTTACGTTTTGCGTCGATGCGGCACGCGGCTTGGCCTTGGTATTTCTCCACAACCGAAGCCGTGTAAGCGAGCCATCCAGCCAGCCCAACGACGGGAAGTAAGGTAGTAGTAGTGCTGGGCTCTGCAGTCTACCCAAATCTCTCTCAGACACTTGACTCAGGTCTAAGCCGTCCGAGATCCCGCGTTGACTCAGACACTAGAGTTCCCGCGCCGGCACCAAGCCTCCCGCTGCTTCGGAGAAGGGCCCGGCTCCCCGAGATCTGGCGCGGGCCCTCTTCAGGCTTCAAGCGCGAGTCCACCCTCCGAAGGTTCCCGGGGTCTCCGCTGTCCGTCCGAAGTCGAGGCTTCCAACTTCATCAGCGGGGCCCGTGGCTTCGACGGCTTGAGAGGAACGCGCACTCCCCCCCTTCGTCGGAAGATGCCCACCTAATCACACATCGACTCCTCTCGTTGCTGTCCTCTCGTGGTGTCTTCCAGAAGAAAGAAGATAGCATGTAGCTATATTCTCATCGGACGCTAGTCGGTAAGCAGCAATGCGCTTGTTTTCGACCCCTCTACGACGTATCTCTATGAATGATCCAGGCGGAGAAGAGACTGATTCCAGGTCGACCGCACTGACGCTATGAGAACGATCGAGAACCAAAGCATTTTCCTATTCCGTTCATCAAACGTTCACCTAGACTTCGTCCGTCAGGTTACCCCAGAGTCTGAAAATACAGGGCAACCTAGGATGACCTAGTTTGGTAGTCAGCAAAAGAGGTTTGAGCGTCGAAAGCTCGCCCAGTCAGCGAATTTCGAGTAATCTGGCTCGTTTATGTTGCCTGCAAGAAGACTCTGTATTTACAATCAATAAAGATTCTCCGTAAAAGGATCGACTGCAAGGCGGGCATCATCCCTACCCTGGCCTCTGGTGGGCCGATAAGGCTTTTTTGATTGATGGCGGTACGTGCTCTCGCCCGGTTCAATTCAGTCGCCCTTCGTCGCCAGGGAAGCAGACTCGGTAAAAGAGCCTTCACATTGGCGGGAACCCGCTGAAGGCGACCAGGAGGAGATGGCTACCGGGTTCCTGGTGAAGAATGGCTTCTTTTGTTGAGTTAGCGCAAGCTTTGGCGCCTTCATCCTGCTCAAGATTGTGCCATGTTGCCGAGACGCCAAGGTTAGGTGAGACGCCATGTTAGTCCCAGAAAAACCGTTTGTTTTACGTTATTGGCACGGTTTGATGAAAGTTGAGTCGTCTACTCCCTGGCCGAGACGTCTTGCCTTGCTCCCTGTGATCCCGGTCGCTCAGCCCTGCTCGGAGGCCACGAGATGAAGGTTCGGTCCCGAAGTCGAGCCGGACAAGAGGTGTCCACACAAACAAGGAAGTACAGGTGATGGACAGGGCTAGGGGGAAGTGTTGAAGTGAGCCTGCAAGCAATCCGATTAGGACGCATCCTTGAGTTTATGAACGGCGACCAAAAGACTTGGGGTGGGGCAGTCCAGGGGTTGCTCGCAGCCACGTCGAAAATGGCTGCTGGAAGGCTCGGATCGCAGCCTGTCACGGATTCACGATCTTTGTGACAAAATAGTTGTGTGACCACACGTAAATGATCCATTCTTCGACCAAGAGCCACCGAAGCGCGGCCGTATAAGTCGCCAATGGTCCTGTCTCATAGAAGGCGCCTGTACAGCACGTATGGCAGCATCTTCGCGTGATAAATTCCCCGCGTAACGTAGTCTCCGTTCGTATCCTGAGGGCGGCGTAGTACGCCATGTCGGCTAAGAGTAGCCAGCTTGTGTACAGTCACATCATCGAACGCGCGCCTAGGGCCAATCTCTTACCTGTCACTGCCAACTCTTTGCGCTTCCACATGGGATACTGACTGCTGCCCTGAAATAAAGTGATCGGCGACTCTGCCTCCGTCTTGTCTCCTACCAGGCTAAAGCAGACTGGAATTTCAAATAATCCCTGTCTCGACCGTTGCTCTATGTCAAGCATCTTGCTCTAATGTTAGAATCGGTGCAGTGAGTAATCTTGTCGATTCCTTCCCGCAACAAACAAGACTGACGCTTCAGATCTGCTCCTCTGGTCTCGACTTCCTTCTTCTTAGTGGTTGATGGTAAACAGCCAAGGACCACTACTATCGACTGCGTTCGTATCGGCAACCCTTGCGAGCCAAGACGCGAACCAGGTAGAAGGAAACAGCTGAAGGCACTCAAAACTTCAATCCAGCCAGCGAAGTTGAAATTCCACTAGGACAGAGAAGTAGAGAGAACATCGGACCATAGCCACGGCGGGATCCTAGTCTGGTAGTGGGGTCCGAGGGCGCTCCAGTCACGCAGCGCATGACTGTCACAGCCCCAGGGCGGCCGCCTATCTTGGCGAGGAATAGCAGTATAGGGTCAAGTACCGGGTTCATGAAAGTTGGGGGGCCGTCGATGTGGCTTTCGGTAGGAATGTCAACGCTGACCCTGAGGATGATCCGTCGGACGGAAACCAGGCACCGCTAGTTGGTCATAAACGTCTTGCGGGATCCGTCGGATGTTGCCTGGTGGGGTACAGGCGAATCTGTTCTTGTTTCCTCCCTGCTTATCTGCGGATATTTCTCAGGCGTTTCTCTCGTGTATGGTGTCAGTGGTCGTCATGGCGGCGGCCAGGACGGACAATTCTTGCCGATCCTAGGGTCTTCATGTCTGTTCGAGGCGGTGACGGTTTCTTGCCCTCGATACGTACAGTTTGCTAATCACTTTGTCGAAATCGGACGTATAGGCGGGTTGAAGGAACCGGAATGAGCCGTGTGCATATCTTGGAAGTATCACTCGACAGTTGCGGTATAAGCCTTCGTTTTACTCGACAGATGATGTCGGTGAGTGAGGTGGCCTGACCTGCCGCGATGGAATTAAAAATAAGTAGCATACACTTCGATTAATCTGAAGGAGGGTAAACCCGTGAATGACTCCGACTGCCCCCCGTTGCCGGGGCTGTGGCTGCAGACTGCGGGATGTCGTAAGTCAGGGCAGGTGGCTGATGCGTACAGATGCCACAGAGTGTCTGGATCCCGATGGAGAAGGCTGGACTAGTAACAATGTCTCTTTCCATTTCTTTGCTCTCGTCGATGAAGGCAAAGCTTGGAAGAACAGAGAGAGAAAGAAGGGGGAGCAGGGAAGAGGCTAGTAAGGCCGCAACCAACTATACCTTCTTGAGCCAGCATGCGTTGCATGAAGCGAAGGCAGGGATGAACGACAGTAGGTACTGCGTTGATGCAGACTGAGCGGACCGCCCGCACATCTTGAGTCCGAGGTAGTGGCTTAACCAAAAGGCGCCCCCCAGTCAACCAACGCTCTCTCTCTCTCTCTCTCTCTCTCTCTCTCTCTCTCTCTCGCTCACTTGAAGCGCAGCGCAGCCTTCTCCCTGTCTCGACATCATTGGCGTTGCAAGAAACTCGGGTCCATCAGAGTGCTAGATCCAGGCGTCGATCTCGACCAATGCGGGGAGATGTTTGCTGGCGCGGCTATGGAGTATGGCATTGGTGGCTTTGTTCTTGCGGTCAGGTTGTCTTGCATTGGAAGTTGGAGGGATGTGCCCACCACATCAGGCTCGATGTGAGTTGCAATACGAGTGAGGCGTGGCAGGTGTGGGTGGTAATTCTCCTAGTGTACTTGGAAGCTGTTCGTCTTCTGCTCCTTTTCCCCTTGTTCCGTGATGATGTGGTGATGTCTTGCGATAGCTCTCCCGCATATTTGAAGGGTGAGACAGCAGATTGAGCTTCGGGGAAAGAAATGGGCCCGTGAAACGCAGCAGTGGGTGACAGAGTGGGTAAGTGCCAGATGGGACGATCTGTGCGTCCTTGGCCATGTACCCACAGGCACACAGGGCGGGCAGGAAAGGGCGACAAGGTACCCATGTCCATAGCCTGGCTGAGGCTGAACCAATAGGGTTTAGTCCGGCTGCTAATCTCGACGTCCCTCGTCTAACCCCCCAATCATGCAGCCAACATGCCAACGTTTGCTCCTTCTTGCATCTCTCGGTAACCAATCATAATGGCCTTCACGAAAACCACCGTTGGAACATCAAGGTTCCTTTGTTGTTTGCTCCCTCCTACAGCCCTCTTCCAGGCCTCTTCCAGCATCACATGGCTCTGGTTTGCTCCGGCTGTCTCCATTGGCGTGCGTGGTCATCGACCTCTCCGCATAATCTGACAGGGGCAGACGCGTGAAGGGTAAATATGCAAGTACTCTGTCTGAATTCTTTTGCCCAAATTGCTTCTTTCATTATTCTTGATCAACACGCCTATCCTAAAGTGATCCAGCCACGTGAAATGATGGCAACTGGCGCAAGAAAGGGTATGGCCATCACCAAATCCTAGTCCCTGCCTTTGCTCCCCACCGCCTTTCCAAAGCCAGACTGTAGTACGTTTGCGCCTGGAGAGGCGGTCAACTCATTGCTGAAGATCAGCAGCTAGCTCCTTTGAGTCGGCCTCTACTGTTTCAGAAGAATGAAGAAATGGTCGTTTGCCCTTTCCACCTATCCTGAACTCCGTCATAGTAGCCCCATTGCAGAAAATGGCCCCCAACTTTCCTTCTTTACTGTCCTCAATTTGCCTCCCATGCCTAAACCCGACAAATAAAAAATTTAAAAAACGAGCAAGGCAAAGTTTCATCGTTCCTTCTTGGCCGTGGCTGAACCATCTCCCACCTCGTTTGGATTGCCTCTTACATTGGTTTCGTCAAAGTCATAGCTGGCATCGTGCCTCTGGCGAAAAAGCTCGTCGAATGCCTGTTCATCCAGTGACAATGTCTGGGGCGAAAGCGTCATGGTTGTGAAAGAGTCATTCATCGTGAAATTCTCTCCGTGGACGCCCGTGTCGAGTGATTCTTGAGGAGTGAATAGCCCAAGCCCACTGAGATTGTCTGCCGCGGAATGCTGAAGTGCCTCATGGTATGAGTTACTGTGGGAAGTATTGACAACCAGCGAATCCTCCCGACGTGAATATTCACTAGTGGCGTTATCCGATGGAAAGCAGATAATATTTGAGCCATGTGTCGATATTCGCGTCATTCCCCTGTCTTTTTCCACGGGACTCGCGCGCTGTGCCGCTATTGATGAATATGCTGGCGGACTAGAAAGGAGGGCAGCACTACCCCGAGAAAAATCATCGGCCGGGACGTCGAAAGGAATGTGCTGTTGATCCATCACCTGGACATCCAATGCTGTCGGTTGGTAACTGCTTTGCTCCTGTAGCAGAGCATTGTTGAGATGGTGTTGCTGCTGGCCAAAGGCGGAAGCTGTCTGGTGGTGATCTGTGTTACGTCGGCTCTGGCATGCTGCTCAAGATCAGCTTTTGAAAAGTCATTTTACCAATCGCGCAACTCACTCGGATCATAGTGATAGACTGTGCAGTGCTGATAAATTTCTTCTTGATTTGTAACTGCGGAGAGGCTGACCAGTGGTATTGGCGCGCGTACTTTTTGCCCCTGAGCATCTCGCACGCAGTAAGCGGCCTGGAATTGGTGAGGCTGACCGACCTCAGAGAGCTCCCAACTCCCGTGCGGGTACGTTCCAGCAGACGTGAACATGTCGAGATCATGACGCGGTAAGACTTCGTTCATACCCTGGGTCCTCAAAACAACACGGGATTCCGTCGGTGATGATTCCTCGTTGTGAGACATTGTGCCTTGGAAGAACGGGCACAAGATTGTTGGCGAAGGCGAAGCGGTAAGTGTGGTGAGCGGATAGTGGCGGTAAGTGTGGTGTAAATGCATGTAGGGATGGTGGGGAGTCTCAAGTACAAAAGAGAAATGATGGTAGGAACCTGGTAAGAAGATGAGGTCAAAATAGATTTTTGGGGGTGCGATGAGAAAAGAAAGAAGAGACAGCACCAGGTTGTATAAGCCAAAAATGACCCTTGACCGAATGCAGCGCTCGCGATAACATCTGACGGAGACTTTAGGGGAAAGGCTGGCCCAAACACTGGAGTATCTTGGAGACAAGCGTGACAGGAACAAACCAATCCAAGAAATTACACCTCGCCTATTCGCCTAAGCCTTATTGAGCTAGCAGAATTTGCACAATGTGGTGCGGCGGGAAATTCTCGAAAAGAGGCTACAAGTCAACTGTTGCCTCGTCCCCGACAAGTGTCCCATCTCGTCGTCAAAACTTCGTAAAAGCAGTTTGGACAGCTTGTGAAAATCTGGGGCTGTGATACGTTGGCTTACGACTTTGATTGAGATGCAGGTACATGTCATCGAGTACGGGCGATGCCATACTCTCATCCAGGATGCTGAAATCTCAAGTTGGCGGGCAACCGTTTTGTGTCGAAGCCAGCCTGGCATGTTCCTTGCACTGACCGCCGCACATACGCTTTCTGCTTGATTCTCAACCGGGCTGTTGGTGTTGCTTCCGCCGTCGAAGGGAATTATACGCGAGAGAAAACGTTGTGTGCGTCGTTGGTTTCTTTCAACTCGTATGCACAGCCCGCTAAGCGCGCAGGCGACAGGGACACAAGGGAGTTATCAACATGAGAGCGAGTGATCGAGTTGAGCCGTAGACGTGATGCTGAGAGAATGATCACCGAGTCGGCGATCCGAATTGTACAAACACGTACGCTCAAGTAACGTGTGATAGAAGGCTTTAGCTTGCTCGCTACATCCCCTCGTGCCCCCAGCGTTGATACGACTGATACAGTCCCCAGACTTTCTGGGCCCTTTAGGACGCGGTTTCGGGACGGCTTCAGCATCATAGTACTCGCGCACGGCTGGAGGATCGCCAACGCGGAGAGGACACAAAGCGGTGGTTCTTGACTTCTGGTATAAATCAGCAGCAGGTCAAGCATATGCGGGAAGAGGGGATATCCTTGAATAGAGACTGCCGCAGGTATCTGTGAAGTAAGCCAAGGTAGTGGTAGCGAAGGGAGGCTGCAGCTGGCAGTGCCGAGGACGGAGGAGCACAAAGATTCGCCAAGGGACCGTCGGCGGCCGTTGACAAGGTAAGGTAGATGACAGCCGGAGGCTTGCTGCGTGGGCTCGCGGTGAGGTAAGGTGAGCCTGGCTTCTGTTGCTTGAGCCAGGCCGAGGTACCTGCATCTTCGGGCCGTGATCCAGACAAAGTACCGTTCTATCAGAGGGGAGCCTCCTGGATACCTATGGTAGTTGAAGAGAGACAGGCCCCTCGCAGGATACAAGTGTGCACAGTGTGAGAGATACCGTGTCCCAAACCGGGATTCGATCGTGGAGGTCCCCATCTCCAAATTCGAGGTTGGCACAGATGGGTTTGGTAAGGCAGGCACGTTGGTAAGGAAGGTGAGTAAAGTAAGGTAAGGTGACGAGAGGTAAGGTATGACAAGTACCCGGGTATTCTCACACCCCCAGAGCTTTCACCCACCCCCATCCGAAGAGGAAAGACAACCCCGGCAAGTCTAAGGTAGTGTCTGGCCAGACCTGGAGTGGGAAGCAACCACCACACGCGCACTTACACACACCCACACACGTACCTACACCCACGTACACCCACGTACACCCCCCCCCCCCTGCAGCTTTCACCTCCTCCTTCCTCCTCCTCAAGACATCGTCCCACAAAAATTACTAGGCCTTCCACACCACAACCAACCGTCCTCGGCCAATTCTATGAGGTGACTTCGTCGCTTCCTGAGGGGAAGGTGGCGCTTTCTCCCCCAATTTAGGACTTCCTTCCACCTCCATGGGCTACTCCAGAAACATCCTGGTGCGGACCATGTTGTCTCCCTCAAATCTCTCCCGCCATAAGTCCCGGGTATCATCCGTTGCCATCCGCATCCACCTTGGGTTCCGCTTGATCTGATCTCTTATTTATGACCATCGGCACAGCCAGCTTCAAATCAAGATTCTTCCATCACAGCCCAGAAAAAAGTCACCACTTTATCAGAACCTTATTTGACTTGTTACTCAATATCTCCAAGAGACACAAGACACGCAAGACACCCCCTAACAACCTATTGATACGGCACTCTACCTTACACCGCCATTTACATTCATCATGGCGTTGACATTCAACCCTGGCAACATCGTTGCTCGTGACATTGATCCTACCCATGTGCACCCTGAGATCCTAAAGATTGTGACAGAGATCTTGGACCTTCGCCTCAACACATTCGAGTCCACCATAGCTGTCTCTGCAAGAGATTACTTTGCTTTTGGCGAGGAGGGTCGGCTCTTCATGGCATTGCAGATGGGGTACGCGTCCATATCTACTTTGTGCCTGTCTAATACCACTCTTTCATAAAGTCTCTAACATTCATCACAGGCGCATATTGGGCCAGCCTGTCATGTGGGTCAAGGACGGAATGCATTCTAGCGTTGATAGATGGGTTCTTGGACCTTGTGAGAGGTTCATTGCCGGTCCACACATGATTGTCTCCGTCAACGGTATTGCTGTCGTCGTCCCTCGACCACCACCACAACTCCTCGAGGAAGCACCCGGTGCAACCACCCAGTTCGTCAACGCTCCTGAACGAAGAGTCAAGATCACACGACCTCCCAACGCCTTCATCCTCTACCGCAGCGACTACCAAGCCCAAATCAAGCAGATGAACCCTCAACTCCAGAACAATGATATCTGTAGGTGACTGAATTTCAACAGCCCTACACCATCTCGCTGACCTTTGAAAAGCCGGAATCCTAGGAAAAGCTTGGAATAATGAGTCTCATGAAGTCCGCGAAAGATACAAGGCTCTCGCGAAAGCCTACAAGGAGCGCCACAACAAGATGCACCCTGACTATCGGTACACGCCACGCAAGCCTTCCGAGAAGCGTCGTCGCAACCGGAGGAGCACTTCAGCCTAATCATCCCTGCCACCCCGTTCTAGAGATGGAGATCAAGGATCTTAGGAGCAAGAAGCGATCCATCACAACGTCGCTGCATTAGTTCCTACCATGCTAGGTCTCAATAACCGTGCAAGAATTTTCGCGACTACAAGTTGCCGCGAAGGAGCACCTTCGTCTGCTGCCTTAGGCCGAGTATGCCTCGTCTTCCCTCAGAGCCATGTCCCAGCTCGCGCCGAGAAAGTCGAAAAAACACCAACACTTGATGTTCGGGCCACAACTAAGCAGACATGCCGTGCCCGGCACTCACCCTTACCATGGTCAGCCGGAGCAAAAGAGACTTCTTCTGCTAACTTAGGGGCCTGTCGAGACCAGGAAAGGCTCGAATTCGTGTAAGGCTCCAAAGCCACTTCGTGGAGTTTTACCTGCTCTACTCACAAGATGGGCGAATCCGGACGCATCATTGGGCGGAGACGGTGGCGACGCTCTTGATGGGGTTCAAGCAAAGAGTGAGCTACTTCAAGCAGAGCAAGACTCGAAAGGATAGAGCAATTCGCGTCGTCGCTGCCGAAGAATCGGATGTCTAAATCTGCCATGATAAGAAGATGAGCCACCACAATACCGATATAGAATGCTTGATAGATTTACTAAAACGATAATGGAATCATAATGTTCATGTCTCATTGCATTAATCTTCTTCTTCTGCACGACTAAAGTACCTAGCTGTCTCTTTTCGATAGTAACGGTTACAGCTCGTCACACTGTTCATCGAATCTCGCGTGACTCCACATCGCCCCTTAGAAATGTATAGACTACGACGCTTGAGACTGGCTCTTTTTCCAATCACTGCTCCATATAAAAGTACCGCACCTCCACTCCGTCCCCTTTTCCTTTTCTCCGGATTTCCCCAGAGGACGGGCGCAGATGAAAAACGACCTGCCTATGTGGATCATCAGCTATGAATGGGGGTCGAGGGGGGGCGGGGGCAGAAAGATCGGGATATGTCGGGGGACGAGAGAGAGGAGGGTAGGACAGAGGCCTCGGTGGACGCATAAACGAGTAAGAAGGGGGTAAGGCGTGTGTGTGGTGTGGTTGGGTTTAGACTTACCACAGTTGACGCCCGGCTTCTTGGTCTGGAAGCTGATGCAGGGCTCACCGTGCTCGCACTTTGGCACGACCCTCTTTCCCAGGTTGAACTTTGACCAAGACTCCTTGACTTCAATGGGGTCAAAGACCTTTTCCGACGTCGCCGTCTCGAATGGCTTCGCGGAGGATGAAGGAGGCGTGGGTTCTTTGCCGCCGCCGTTGCTGCCGGGTTGTTCTACCGTGCCCACCGCTTCTGATAGTCCCGATAGGGAACGGATAGGTCCAGCAGCAGCACCACCATCACTTGCGGCTTTGTTCTTGGTGAAGGGCGACACTGGATGATTGGTCTTTGCCGCGTCTGCTTGAGCGGGCGAAGACTGGGTTGGTGGTGGTTGTGGCGGGTTCTTTGGCTTGAAGAAGCCCATGAGGGTGCTCTGGGCCTTACCGTCGGATTCGTTGGTTTTCGACTTCTTGGGGGCTCGTTTAGCTGATGCTGCCGATTCGGCTGGTCGTTTTACGAGCGGGTTGGTGCTTTGTGACGAGGAGAGTGTCGACTTGGGGGGTGGTGACCTTGCCGTGTTGGACTGCATGGATGCCTGTGAGGCAGCGGGCACGTCTTCGGTCGTCGTGGTTGCCTGCGAGGCTTCAGGGTCTTGCGTCTCTTGAGTCGTCACGGGGTAGTCGCCACCATCTTCGGTTGGAAGACTGTGTAACTCGAGAGGAGTCGATCCGGGGTTTGGTGCGGGCTTTGGGGTGGGCTTCTTCATGAACATGTCGCGGATGTTGCGTCTTCGGTCGAACTCGGGGATGAGCTTCGCGGATAGGGGAAGAAGATCCTTTTGTGACCATTCCCTCAGCCGTTTACCGTCGTGGAACATACCACTGGGGTTCATCACGTCGAGTACGGGTAACTCCTTGCCGTCCGTTGTGACGACGTCATTCATGACTGCGAATACGGGGCAGTGGTCCGATCCCATCAGCCCCTCCTGAATATTTGAATCCGTGAACCAGTCCTTGATGCCTGACGAACATAGGATATAGTCTATCCGGCTGCCGTTGTTCGCTGGGCGGGTATTCCTCTTTGTGTCCCAGCAAGTGAACATGCTCTGCCTGGTGGGGTGGAAGATGCGCGTCAAGTCATGGAGGACGGGCTTCTCCTTTCCTTCGTCGCGTTCACCGACGACCTGGCCACCGACGACAAGCTGGTTGATGAACCGACGGCTTGGCCCCTGCATCCACTCTTCCACAGTCATGCCCTCCTTGCGGAGCGTCTCCCTGAGGTTGCAGGTGTCTATCTCCTCGCGAATGACGTTGAGGTCACCCGTCAAGATGACCTGCTTCCCGGCCGCGACAAGATTCCTCACGCGTGCATCGAGGGCGCCGAGGTAACCCAGTCGGAAGTCGTCGCGAGACGAGTCGCGGGTGGCGGGGCTGTAGGTGCCGATGAGCACAAAGGCCGGGAACTCGAGGATGACGCACCGGCCTTCCGAGTCGAGCGTCGCCTCATCTACTTCGCTGGAGAGCTGGCTCGCGCGCGGGTAGCCGCCGATCTGCTGGTCTTCAGGCAGGTCGCGAAAGCTGGTAGTTGAGTTTGGAACTGGAAGGACGCCTGTGATGCCTTCTTCGGCGCGGATGGGGCAGCATGTTGCGTTCCGGGTATATATCGCGACACCGGAATATCCTGGGGTAAGAGGTGAGAAACATACTGAGGGACGATGACCGCTGTGAGCTCACCCTTCTTGTATTTCGGTAGGCTGAAGAATACATCCCAACCAGGTATTAGTACCATGTCATCTTTGAGGTCTTTGCGCTGAATCTTCGTCTCTTGCATGACTACGATGTCCGCCTCGAGGGTTTCGAACATTGCCTATAAGCTTTTGTCAGTAACAAGTGGGAACCCGCGAGGAAAAAGGATAACGGACCTGAAATGTTCGTTGTGTGCTCCATGGCTGATACCCAAACGGATTTCTCGGTAGTGTCAATTGAAGTACATGGATATCCTCAGTTGAAGTAGACATACCTGATGCCGTTGACTGTGATACAAGGATCGTGAGCGAGCGGGAACATCTGTCAAATGATAGGGACCCAACTCACCATTCCATGTCACAATACGCAACCCCATCCTGGCCGATGATTTGCTTGCTCCTGATATCATGATTGGAAAAGACTCGAATTCACAAACGCCGAGATCACGTCGCTTTCATGCCCATGCCCGAGATGTCAAAGGTTGGGTTGCTGCATCAAGCCCAGAGGTTCAAGTGCTATCTTCGCCTCCAATTGTGGGAATGGATGACTAGGGTATCAAAATTGCGAGTTGAATTTCAGAAGAATTAAGTTGCATGAGAACCGACGCTGGGACGCCTCAATTAAACTGTCAAGCCCTGGTCAACGCGACGTAGCTGCCGTCATTGAAGTGGTGAACGCGACGGTTTGCGCGGTGTCCCGTGATTGCCTACGCACGTGACCAAATGCGACATACTGCAAGTTGCTGCAACACATGAACGCGACATATTCTTCTATCTTAATCATGTGTCTCTCAGTGCAAATAAATTTCCTAGAATTATTGCACTAATTCTTTTTTGATCATTCAACATGAAGAAGTCAGGTATCTGAGTCGAAGTCAGGAAGGTACCTAAGCCGAGACGAGCATCTGGTGTTGGTTGAGGTACGTACCGAACCCGGGCCCTCCCTTCCTGCTTTCTCCGCAAATGACCTGACATCATTTAGTCATCCCCAAAAGCCATCTTTAGGCCTTACAATCCAGGCACTCGCAAGGCCGTGAACGTTCCCGCTAGCCGAGCTCTGGATAGAGAATGACCTGATCCTCCGACTCCCGACTTCACAAAACCTCGAAATCCACCACCAACGCCCACCCGGCCGAAATCGAAACCTCTCCCCTCCACCGATATCTTCCAAACACAAAGATGCAGCGCCAGCTCCTCTCCGCCGCCGCGCGTGCCGCCCGCGCCCCGGCCGTCCGCTCCACCGTCCAGCGCCGCTTCGCCAGCACCACCGAGAACGCCTTCATCAAGGAGCGTGAGGCTGCCAAGCACCACGCCGCGCAAACCACCGGTTCGTTTCTCCGCCCTGTTCGAGTCCGACATACTTCAATGTTTCGAGTTTTGGGGAGCCAACTGGGCTCAATTGACCCATCGAGCGGCGAAGGGAGGACCCGGACTAGATACAACATGGAGGGAAAAAAACATGAGATGCTAACATATTGAGTAGGCCTCTGGCGCAAGATCTCCATCTAGTATGCACACCATCCCTCCATAAATCTTAGTCGAGGTCTCTTCAAGCACCGAATCTGTCATCCCGCTCGATATCTGCCCGGCCATCTCAGCCAATGCCGCTATAATTGAGTATCACGAAGCAGCCGGGAAAGAGCGCGGGATTTGATTCGGGAACTGCTGGGGAGACATGGGAGACTAATTTCAAGAGTGCAAATGCTAACCCGACGCTCCTCACCTTCACAGCGCCTGCATCCCCGCCCTCGGTCTCGCTGCCGCCAACGCCTACGTCCTCTGGAACGAGCACTGGGACCACTGGAGCCACATGCCCCCTCTGGAGGAGCGCGTCGAGTACTCTTACCAGAACATCCGCACCAAGAACTACCAATGGGGCAACGGTGACAAGACCATCTTGTACGTTTTCATCATTCTCCTCTGGTCCCCTCCCCGGTCAATTTCATGCACGCGGCGGGACGAGGAAGTGAATTTGTGGGAGAGACTAACACTCAAAACAGCTGGAACGACAACGTCAACTACCACAACCCCGACAAGGCTTAAATTAAGCCTGTCTAGTTTGAACGTGATATCGCTGAATTCAGGAGACGAAGGAGCGATCCATAGACTCGGGGTGTGACACGCCTGCTGAGGGGGTAGACTATCCTGTACATTTTCCCTATGTCACAGCAATCGAGAGATGCGGCCTTTTTCAAAAACTTCAGGAGTGTCATCGTGAAGGGTATTGATGCGTTGTGCTATGTGAACTTGCTGCTCATCATATCCCTCTGCAGGTATTCCGGGGGTTGCTAACATGTCATATCGCAAGTGCTGCTGCCTCCTTGCGCAGGGCTACATATGCAGCCGCGTAATCCGCTGCCAGCACCTTATCCCCCGCAACCTTCATGATGGTTGCCTTCTTGGCCATCATCTCACACTGCCTTGTGATATCCCCGATACTCGAATAATGATCGAACGCCTTTTGTATGGCACCCGTAGCCCGGGTCAGGTACTCCCGCCTCTTGGCCGACTGCGGTGCCATCGTCCCCGCGATGCCCATGTTGGCGTCGGCTAGGTACGAGTACAGCTGCCCGCTCAGCGCTGCGGAATCGCACTCGAGACTCCGCGGCAGGACGGCCGTGAGGAGCTGCACCGAGGCGTCGAACTCGCCCAGCGACGTCAGGATATTCGCAACGGCGCCGATGGCCTGCCACAGGCAGGACACCAGCTTCGCCCTCCATGCCATGCTCGCAGCGCGCATGGCGATGGTGAAGCCCCGCTGCGGACGCCCGCACTTGTCATAAAGGTGAACCTTGATCAGCATGAGCCGCACGCGGAGCGAAATATCTCTCTTATCGTCGCGAATCGCCGCCAGCATGTCTTCGACCTTGTTGAAAGCCGCCTGTAGGTCACCCCGCCGCGTGAGGCAGTCGATGTGGAGTAAGTCGACGACAAAGGCCATGTCCGGTTCCAAGTCGTCCTTTTTGGACTGCAAAAGCTGCGAGAGCAGCTGCTCTGCACCGTCGAGGTTGTTGTGGTGCAGGTCCCGCTTCAGTTTGATGATGCCCCGGTACTTGTACCAGTATTGGCTCGGTTTCCATGATCGCAGGGCGTTCTCGTCGAGAGCCTCTAGTTTCTGCAACGCCTCGTCAAACTTGCCTCTCGCCGCGAGCTGCGACGCCAAACGAGATGTGACCTTGAGCTCGTCGTCGAATATCGAATGTCTCGCGTGACACCGTAAGAAAATCTCACAGTCCATGGCCGAGAGCTGCGACAGCCCCAGCCTATCCCACAGAGCAATCAGGATGGACAGCTGGGCGCCAAACATATTCTTCATGTTCCGCTCGACAATGAGGTGAGAGCTGCGAACCACAAGTTCGACCGATGTCGCCACGCTCTCGCCGTTTGCCAGGCCAAGCTTCGCTTCACTGAGCAGCACTGACGCCCACAATGTCCACATTCCCGTCTCCTTCGCCTTGACTCGCAGGTAGGAAAGACTCTCCTTGGCTGTGCCGAGGAGACTGTCTGCCTCCAGGTCTCTCACAAGATCCGGGTGTGCTCTGCCAAAATGGAAAAGCCAGCTAAGTGCAAAGTTTAAACAGGTCATGTCGCGGTTCTCGCGGGCCGTTGATACGGTTTCGAGCATGGCTGCGACGGCTTCTCTGTAGCACCCAAAGTCTGCTTGCAAAACTGCCAGGTTCATCAAGGCGTATTGATAGAATAGTCTGTCTCGGTTCTGCATCGTGTAGTCAAAGTATTGATGGAGGAAATCAAATGCTGTAGGATAGTCGCCTGATCTCCAAGCATCGAGGAAACTGCAGAATATTAGCAAAAGTGTTCATCAATAATGGTCGGAGTGAGTTGCCTTAGATAATGCCTCAAGCTAGGCACGAGAAAACTGTCACCAAGAAGATCATGAAACTGGTTCCTCAGTTCCAATGGTATTCGGTTGCCGAATTCTACTCTTGTCAGCTTTGGATCCTGAAAACCTAGAAAGATTTGCTCACTCTGCATCTGCTCGATCTGGAACTCCAGCAAAAGCTCAATGTCGTCTGTGCTTACCGGCACAGCAGCAGGAGTACCGTTCCTCACCATATCGCCATAGACGACAGATGTGAGCGCCGCAACACCCTCCAAATCCCACTCCGATTGCTCGCCCGTCATGAGAACATTGTCGAAGCTGAGCCGGCCAAAGGAAGGGTTCCTCTTCCGGAGGTACCCCGCCGTAGGCTGCCGATACTGCACGAAATCCGTCCAGAGCTGCGTCGCATCGTGGAACAGCAGCCTTGTGAACTCGAGCTGGCACCGCCGCACAAACTGACCCAGCGGCGAGTTTCTCGACAGTGTGATCCCAGGTTTCTGCTGCTGCTCCTGCAACAGCTGCGCGGCAATGGTCTCGTCGCCGCCCGCCGCCCGCAGCAGCTCTTCCTTCGTCTTGGCCAGACACTGCGACTGGCGCGCGAAGAAGTCGTGGAGCAGATCGAGAGAGTTGATCCCCCATAGCTTGGTGAGGAACGTGTCCCATAGCTTCCGCCCCGGCAGGCCGACAACGACGGAGTGGGCGCTCAGCAGCTTTTCAAAGTCCTTGATGCCGATGACGAGGCTGACGGTGCTCTCGGCTTTCCTCCAACGCGTGTCCTTGCTGGCGGTGTTGGTGAAGGACTGAGGGTCTGGGTCGAGGAGATGTGATGTGATGAAGGAGAGCACGGGGATGATTGCCGTGGCGGGGACATGTTCGTCCGTGTACAGCTCGATGAGAGCGAGGAGGCCAATCTTGGCAGGCGTGAGGTATCGAGCCATTATGGGCTCTGCTCGCGGAAGTTACGCAGATTCGTCAGATATTCAGTCCCAATGAGGTTGGCTTGCCCGGAAGCTCATCAGTTTGGCGTGAACGGTGAACCCGTGGGCGTCGTGGTTGACCATGTCACTTGAGCTAGGTGAGGTCAAGCAGCACGGCGCGTCGCGCCTGCGTCAACTGAAGGTCCCGTAGCAACCAAATTTCAACCAGGAGATGTCAGCCGGGCGAGAAGTGATTACAAAGCACGAAACAACGTCCGAAATCTTGGCGGCTAGAGCTGTCCTGTTTGTTAGTCTCGATGTTGACAGTGAGGTTTCTGTGATGTTGGGCGTCCCCACAGCAGCCAGCGAGAAATGTGATTGGTCACCAATGCTCATGAACGTCTGTTTCGCGACTACCTTCACGACACACATCGCTGTCGAGTATTATACGTCGAAGTTGTAATTTTTTTCTCAGAGGAAGACGATTGATTCTAATTGAGTGGCAAATCTTCAAAATCACAGTAGCGATTCAACCAAAAAAGATTTATTCTGAGGTGTTACGTGGAACGATGTCATCTCTTCCCCAAAGCGTTACACCTGGTTCTTGACATGATGCATTACATTTGTACCTTATCTTACAGATATTGCTACAATATTTGATGATGGGCTGAGATCTTCGGCCGGGCCGGCTGTTGAACTCGAATTCTCTCCTAAGCCAGAATGTGCCCTCTAGCGAACCTGCTCTGTTAGGGAGCTTGTGATGCATTCCCAGACCGGCACTCCCAATTTTGAAGCCAGCATCTGTTTAAAGACTTTCCGACTTTCTCAAGTCTCTTTCCAACGAATGCTTTCCCCCTGCCGATTCCTCAACTCGCTCTCCCGCGCCTCTCTCGCCTCATCTGCAGCCAAAATATCACTTTCACTGCCCCCGTCAACCTCATCAACATCATTCGTCGCCCAAATCCTCTCAATGCAAAGCTCAAACGGCCCCGGCACCCGATCCGTAAGCCCCACACCAACCGTCGTGACCTTGGACCTTAGCATCTCCGTCTGTGGCTCAATAACGAAGCCGTGATTCGTCCTTACGAACTCGTTCCACTTGACAAACACCGTCTCCCACTCCCCGGGGCGCTTGGCGAACAGCCTGTGCTGGTGCAAATCTGTCGGTACCACCGAGTCGGTCTGCAGGTTGATAAAGTAGCTCCGGCCGTCCGACTTCACGCGCATCGCGAGGTAGGAGTACGGGTCAATGTCCCAGACGGCCTTGCCGAAGAGCGTGGGCTTCTGGTCTGGCGTCCGCCATGCCGCGAAGCCTGTGCGTTGGATTTTGGGGTCGTTTTTGGGGAGGTCTGTTGATATTGTGCCGTGGAAGCGGGCGTGGCCTGCGCTTGTCGTCGGCGTGCTTTGTGGTGATGTTGTCGTCGCTGTCGAGGAGGGGGTGGAGGAGACCCATTCGAGGGCGCTGTGGGAGAAGCCGCCAATCTCTTGGTCGGACATGAGTTTGCAGTCGTCGGTCGAGCCCGGTGCGCGGAAGTCTTGGAGGATGTAAGGACCCGAGGGGCCCTTGATGCCTTCGGCTTTTGCGACTGTCGCAATGTTTCGTTAGCTTTCTTGACCCGTACAATCCAGGTAAGGGTAACTAGTGTATAGTCGGAACTTACCAATACTTGCGCGACGCTTGAACTCGTCCATGGTTCGGGAGAATATGCCCTTGGCCATCAGTGAGGGCGTCGCGCGCATCTTTGCGGTCGTTTCGCCGGCGCCGCCGACAGGTTAGCTTTCTAAGTGATTTTTCGGCTGTTCGGATTCGAAGCTCGCTCGCGCGATGCGCCCGTGGTGCTGTCGAGTCTGTGGGCGGCGATTGGCAATTGACCTCCGTGTCTCTCTCCGTGTCCCGTTTCGGCGGGAAATTTGGCAAGTTTAGCTCTCCGGTTACGATCGTCAACTGTTGCTCAGAGTAATATTCCCGGTTGCTTGTCTTGGAGCTTTCGGCACCAATGTAAGGTACATGGGTACCAGTACAACGAGCTCGAGCTTACATGCGGGGGAAAGAAAGACCGTGTTCCGCCTTCAACGACACCTCATCTCCCATTCCCTACAACCACCATTCATTGGAGGTCATCGTAGTCTAGGTCTTGCCGTGGAAAATGCGCAAAGCTGTCCAGGATTACACTACTGGGTTTTTACAGTCTGATCCGGTCAATTCGTTACACTGCTGAGTTCAAAATTCCCTCAAACCTTTAACAAACCGATTGCCCGTGAACCTCTATTGCCTCTGTAAACTTTCAGCCGACTTAGGGAGCATTATCACGCGCCAGCACCACTGACCCCGTCTCTGGACAAGACAGTCGATTTACCCCATGTCCACTACAAGTGTATGACGTTCAGTATGTCACAATCACATGCGAAGTGGGAGGCTCAAAAAGGTCTACTCAAGCGTGCATTCCTGACTGATCTATCCGTAATGGTAGTGAGTGTCCTTACACCTCGAGTAGACAACGGTGCTTTCTGCACAAAACCCAAGTTCATCTATGATCCCCAATTCCTGTTCTCTATAACCGAGTCATTCCGATCATTCGAGTACAAGACCAAGGTCCCGGCATATTTGAACCCCTCCAATGCTTTCAAGTTCCCACCGTATCTGAAGAAAAAAAACCACCAAACTTTTGTTGAAGAGGAAAATCTTGTAGTAAAACACAAGATTCGAAGAAGGGTAAACACACTATTTGGAACCCAAAGAGGATTCGAAAGAAAGATTTGGAATGAACCAAGAGAAGTCCGGAGTCTAGTTGGAACGGTCGGAGCCGTCAGTGACGAAGGCCTGGTTGACATCACTCATGACAGGCTCGGACTGCATCAGACCAGTGAAGGGCATCTGAGGGTGGTGGGCCGGGGAAGAGTGCGGCGCGAAATCGCGAGTGAACGGAGTCCAGAGAGGAGTGCCGTGGCCGTAGCCCCAGAAGCCAACGGGAGACTGCTGAACAGGGGTCTGGACGGGGCCACCCTGAGCGTAGTACGGCATGCCATTGTTGTTGTTGTGCATAGGAGTTCCCATCTGAGAAGGAACGGGGGGAGGGGCCATGGGGTACTGGACCGGAGTCTGCTGCATGGGCATTCCCTGGGCCATGGGCTGGCTGATCTGCTGACCCATGGGCTGCGCGTTCATGGGAGCCTGCTGAATCATCTGCTGGTTCATGTTGTGACCCATGGGCTGCGCATTCATGGGAGACTGCTGAGCGATCTGGTTGTTCATATGGGTGCTCATCTGGTTGCTCATGGGCTGCATGTGCATAGGAGAGTGTATAGCAGGCTGAACCTGCTGCATCGGGCCAGGCTGCATCTGCATCTGCGAAACGATCTGGTTGTTCAAGGGCTGCTGAGTCTGGATCTGCATGCCCTGGTTGCTGTTGATCTGTGGGTGCATCTGAGTCTGAGTCTGGATGCTCTGCATGTTCTGCTGCATGTTCTGCTGCACGCTCTGCTGGGTGTTCTGCTGAGCGTTCTGCTGCATGTAATCGCCATTCTGCGGAGCCTGCAGCGACTGCGTGCCAACCATCAGGCCATGTCTGGGGTTGAGAGGATAGCTAGGTGGCATGACAGTCAAGGTGCCCTGGGCAGCCTCGGAGGAGGGAGCAGCCTCGATGGCCAGGCTGGTCAGGCGCTGCTGAACATGGCTAAGACGAGCAGGAGTAGAAGCGACACTGCCATGGTAGCTGTTGTTCTGAAAGGCGCGGTTGCTGCCGCCGCCGTTGAAGCCGCCGTAGCGACGACGTCTATCCATACGCTGTTGAACGCGGATGATGTGGTCCTCGACGAGGGAGTCATTCTAGTGAGCATGTCAGCTTGAAGGTTCTTCACACTTCAGTCAAGTAAGACTTACGAAACGCTCAATGGCAGACCGAGCATAGCTGACGTTGGTGAACTCAACAAAAGCAATCTGCTTGGGACCGTCTGTGCAGCTGTCAGTTTCGTTCACATAAGCATAGGAGGTATTGATTGAGACTCACCCTCGTAAGCGCACTGCTGGGTATGAACGGCAACCACACCTCCAATTTGATCCATGAGGTTGCGAATCTTGTCCTCGGTGAAACCGAGGGGGAGATCGCCCATGAAGATGGAACGGCCGTCACGCTCTGCAGTGTTGTTCTCCATGGGAGGACGGTGAGGCATGCGAGCGCGGATCTGCATGGCCTTCTTGAAGTCGTACGACTCAACCCTGTATGTGTGGTTCATGCGGAAAGCCCGAAGCACCTGCTGAGAGGGATCATGAACAGCGAACTGGACACGAACAGTGACCGGAAGTCCGAGCTTCTCTTGAATCTCCTTGTCCAAAAGGTTGATTCTGTCAAGGGCGCCGAATGGAGTCAAGAGCTCCTGGGCCTCCTCAACCGTCATATTAACTCGATCATGGCGGTAGATGATGTAGGTGCCTATGTTAGAATGTCAGCTTCAATCACGAGAACGTAAGGAGAACGAACTCACGGTTGGCGCGAACAGTCTCGGTGCGGCACGGGCGACCAAGAATCAAGCTTCCCCTGCCCTGGATGCGGGCATTCTCGGCATCCTCCTTCGTCTGTGATTGTGTTAGCGAGGCTGTCGAGAGTGAATACCATGTGGAAAGCTGCTTACATTGAATTGAACGAAGGCGTAGGGCATGCCGCTTCCATCGCGACGAATCTTGACGAAGACAACGCCGAAGCGGTCGAACTCGCTGATCACAGCGGCCTCGAGAGTTATGTCATCCTTGTACTCAGGGAGGCTGATATGATAAATTAGTGTTGAGCACTGATGAGCTTCTCTCGAGATTGGAACTTACTTGGCAACGAAGATGCAAGAACCAGTAGGGAAGCCGAACTGAGAGGTACCGGCGACATTGCGCACGAAGGAAGAGATGCCCTTGCTGGGAGAGCCACCGACATACTCATTGCGCTGAGACATGCCATTGCCACCAATCTCCGAGGTCTGGAGGTTGCTCTGACCGAGGGTGTAAGACAAGGCCGTGACCACGGGATCCTTGCCTGAGCCAGACGCGGTCTCGGTGAAGACGTCGCTAGCGGTGGTCTCAGGGATGGTGGAGCGGCTGCCACCCCTATGAAACAAAGTCAGATTATGTCCAGAACGTGATGGAAATTCCAAACTTACACAGCGGCTGTGGCGGACGAAGTAGGACGCAGCGCCTTGGCGGCATCCTTGGAAGAACGACTATCAAATGTCAGTGGTGATGAGAAAATGCCGTAGAACAGATGTCACTTACGAAGGACTGCCTCTCAGAGAGGAAGTGTTCAACTGCGCCGAGCTCTCAGTTGTCTCAAGAGACGCGAGCAAGCCGTACGGGTTACCCGCGAGGTACTCGTTCGTAAGGCGGACGCCGCCGCCAGTCTCACCATCCTCCGAGGAGGAGGAGGACTTTCCGGTGGACTTGCGACCATTGCGGTCGCCAGCCTGGCCAGCATTCTGCGAGGCCATCGCAGCAACGCGGAGCGCCTGCTCACGGTCGTGCTGGATGCCCAGCTGCTCAAGACGCTCCATGAACATGGCTCTGTCAGCCGGGTCAGCCAGGAGATCGCTCATTGAAGCCATCGCGAATGTGTATGCTGAAGTTGTTAATTTCGCAAACGACGGTTTCGAGGATTGAGAGCTTCGAGAATGATGAGATTGGATATGAGAAAGTGATGTAGGCAAGAAGCAGTGGAAGCTTGAGATGGGAATGGGTATGGGTTGTGGGTATGGGTTGTTGTGTGAAGAGAAGTGTAGATATTTTGACTGCTGATGTGTGAGTTGTGGAGGTTGAAGAAGGTAAACAAACAGCAAAGGATGGGTGAATTTCCGAGAGGTAGAGGAATCCAGAGGATAGAGAGATCGTGGGATTCAGATTCAACCCACAGGGCAAGGCTAGGGCTTGAAATGAGGCTATCGTGGGTCACTCACCTCTCGCAATAGTTGCTGAGAGGGCGGGAGCAGCCTCATGGGCTGATGCCCGGCCTGCTCCCGCCTTCTGTGAGGTCATGACCTCACTCACGAGAGTTGCAAAAAGGCGAGAGCAGCCTCGTCTGTTCCCGCCCTTTGCGATGAAAGGCCATAATCTCACAGAAGAGGCGAGAGCAGCCTCATGAACGAGAGCTCTCACCTGTTCCTGCCCTTTGTGAGATCATGACCTTAAACCACAAAGGGTAGGGCAGAGAGCAGCCTCATGAGTGACAGGCTTGTCTGCTCTCACCCCTGTGTGAGGTGTTTGTGACCTCACTCACGATAGTTGCAGGATGGGCAGGAGCAGCCTTGTCGATGATAGCTTGCTCCCGCCCTTCGTGAGGTGAGGTCATGACCCGACAGGTGATTGCAAGGAGGGCGAGAGCACCCTTGTAAACAAGGGGCTCTGCCTGCTCCTGCAGTATTGTTTGAGCGAGTTATTCGAGCAAATTTTCGAGCAGATTTTTCGAACAAGTTTTTGAAGCAGATTGTTGTAGTGTTGAAGCAAAATATCGAGAGAGCTGTTCAGCAAGTCAGTTATCAGAATTCTGATTGAAAGAATAGGTATGGGATGCTCTCACCAGCCCACTCATCGTTTCTTGCGCGGCGATGAGATGGGCTGCCCTCATCGCGATTTTGGGACGGCAGCTCTCGTCTGATGTGGGTGAGAACAAGTTGAGAAGGAGTTTGTGCGCTCCAAGTGGAGAGACTTTGTTCACCTGGGGAAATCTGGGCGGCAGGCAGAATACGACGGACGAATACGGCAGGTACAA